TGCGATGATCTGCTCGGTGTCCCACGCTTGGGAGAGCCGGGAGCATCCGGACCCATGCGCCCACCAATTGAAGTGCCTGGTCGACGTCGTGTCTCTCTTCGACGCCGCCTACTTCTCGGACGTGTGGCTATTTTATGACTATGTGTCTCTCTTTCAGTTCAAGCGGGAGTCCGACGCAGAAGAAGAGAGCTTTCGACGGTCGATGCAGGACATGCACGTCTTGTACGCCCATGAGTGCACCCGAACTTTCCGCATAGAAAACCTCACCCCAGACGATGTCTGGGAAGAGGCGACAAATAATTCTGAGTATCGAGTGCGAGTGTACGACTCGGAGAGCGCCGTGGTCCGAGACCGTCCGCTCAAAGAGCTGGCTGCGAACCGGGTTCTGTACAGAAATCGAGGGTGGTGCAAGGCGGAGGTTGAGTGGTCCTCCGCCCGGAGCCATTCCCAACAGAACCACTGGATCGATGCTCCCGAATCTCAAGACAGAAACGAGAAATGGTTGCCATTGCATGAGCAAGAGCCAGAGCTGCTGGGCAAAGTGCCCATGGCTCCGGAGATTTTTGCCGAAGAGATGAACTCGGCAGCCTTCACCCATCGGTCTGATGCCGAAGAGGTGAAGAAGCTGCAGTTCAAGGTTTTCCTCCAGAAAGTCTCCGAGTGTGAAGAGGCGCTCTTCGAACATCTGCCCGAAGGGCAGCTGGGGCAGCTGGCACAGGTCCTGCCTTACTTCAAGAAGCTGAGAGTGCTGAGGCTGCGGGACTTTAAGGTGGGCCGAGCAGAGGCTGGGGAGTTCGCAAAGGCCGGGCTTGGCAGGTCTAAGACCGTTTTTGAGCCTGCATGGCCTGCATTCGCACGCCAGGCGCTAGCACGGAACGAAGCGATTTGCGAGCTCGAGATACGTGGCCTTCCCTATAGTGGGCATGATTATGGTTTCCTATGGGAGGCACGGGGGAGTCAACAGCTTTGACTTGAAGTGAAGGCGGAAAGGCTTTTGGGCTTCAGACAGGTTGGTGCTGCTGGATCACAGTTGCTTTTCCCGCGTGAGGCGATGAGCGAAGCGCTGAAAACCAACTCCACCCTCACCAGCATCAGCTTCGAAAGCAACCTCATCCGATTCGGTGTGGAGGGTGGCAAGGCCCGGTACGGGCTGAGACAGGTCAGCGCTGCTGGAGCAGGGTTGCTTTCCTGAGCGAGGTGCTTGGCGAAGCGCTGAAGACCAACTCAACCCTCACCAGCATCAACCTCGAAGGCTGCTACATCGGCGATGAGGGTGCGCAGGTGCGGTGGGTTTCAGCGAGGTCAGTGCTGCTGCAGCGGGGTATCTTTCCCGAGTGAGGCGATCTGCGAAGCGCTGAAGACCAACTCCACGCTCACCAGCATCAACCTCAAAGGCAACGACATCCGCGTGGAGGGTGGCAAGGCCCGGTTGGGCTTCAGGCGGGTCAGAGCTGCTGGAGCAGGGTATCTTTCCCGAGTGAGGCGCTTCGCGAAGCGTTGAAGTGCAAACTCCACGCTCACCAGCATCAACCTCGAAGGCAACGGCATCAGCGAGCAGGCGGTGACGCGGCCCTGTCGTTCAAACTTGAGCTTGTTCTTCTTCTCGCCAGGTGCTTATGGAGATAAAGACGAGGTGCCTACTCGTGGATTCTTGGTCGGCCAAGGCTCTCGGGTGCATGCCTTCGCATGCTACCTGCGCGTGCTGTGGGACAGCCTTCACCCTGGAGAAGATTTCGCCCAGCTGTCTCTGTGATTGCCCCTGGGTGCATAGCTTGAACCCGCGTCTGGCAAGCTGGACCCATGACAACTTGTACAGGGAGAGCCGGGCCAGATTGCAAGTTCTCAGCATTGTTGGCAGGCTGCAAGTACGGCCTCGGTGCAGCTCTGAGTGATCTACATTGAAACTGCGCCCATTGCCCGCCTGCTTGGGCTCTGCAGATAAGGCTCCGGAAGCTGCAAAGGCTTGGACGGGGCGAGTGCGCATCAAGGACCGGTGCCGAGCCCGCCATCAGACACCGGGGGAGCCGCGTGCCACTCACTCTGCAGGCCCTCGCACGGCGATTGAACGTACACTGCAACCCCAGCGAGTTGAGCTTGACGCACTGTGGTCTCAAAATCGAAGAGTCAGAGGTAAAGGCCCGGTAGGGCTTCAAAGAGGTCAGTGCTGGAGCAAGGTTTCTTTCCCGCACGAGGCGATTGCCGAAGCGTTGAAGACCAACTCGACGCTCACCAGCATCGACCTCGCAAACAACTCCATCGGCGATGAGGGTGCCAAGGCCCGGTAGGGCTTCAGCCGGGTCAGAGCTGCTGGGGCAGGGTTTCTTTTCCCGCGTGAGGCGATCGCGGAAGCTTTGAAGACCAACTCCACACTTGCCAGCATCGACCTCAGATGGAACAACATCGGCCTTGAGGGTGCGCAGGCGCGGTGGTGCCAGGGATTGGCGCAAGCAGAGGGGTCTGGTGGTTCATGGTGGTTCCAAAGGTCCGCCAGCAGTAGCCACCGCTGTCGTGCCGTTTCCCTGCAAGGCGCTTGCCGAGGCTTTGAAGAGCAGCACAACAGTTTGCGAAATTCTGCTCTACGGAAGCGACATCCCCTCCAAGTGCGAGCAGGCCTGGGCGGTTCGCAGGGCTCGTGCGTGGTTTCCGAAGCCTTGTCCTCCAGAGGCCCTCCGGGAAGCTACCAGGCGAAGGCCCGGCGAAGGGCCCGGAGAGAGAGGGACTTCTGAGGGCTCCACCTGCCCTACTGAGGCTGAGGTTTTGATCCTTGATCCTGATCCTGAGCTCGTGAGGTGCTCGAGGCCAGTGGGGCAAGCCCGCTTCCACGTCATTCTCAACCCTAAGCGGACCCTAAACCCCTTAAGCCTTAAACCCTAAACCCAAAGCCCCAAAAGCCTTAAATACTAAACCCTATAGACCCTAAACCCTAAACCCCACAAACCTTCTTGAACCCTAAACCCTAAACCCCAAAAGCCCTAAATCGCCCCCTCCGGCCCAAGAAACTCCCAGCATCAAATGGGGTCGAGGCCAGAACCCAAGTGAGCCACCGGTGAGGGCAATCTGGATGAAGATCGTGAGGAAGCACCGCAAGCCCGCGCAGCGTTGCTGAGAAGATTTGAGGGGGGGGTACTATTTGCTATAGTTATTTATTGAAATTTTCCTACATTTCAGAAAATTAGAGTATTTTCGAGTCTAGTCTAGACCACCTTGCGGCAAGTTTCGGGATTGCGGGTCTCGGTTGGCGTTTGGTAGCTTTCACGCTTAAGTTCAGCTATCCTCTGCGTGCCCCTGTGGCTCCGTAAGTATGGGCATGAGGGCAGGGTAAGGCTTTTCGCAGCTCTCGATCGTTCGATGTGGGTAGTTCTCTAAAGTAGGGTCCCCTTTTTTAGGTGCCTAATATAGTACGGCACCCCTATAACAAGGACCCTAAAAGGCCCTAAACCCTATATTCCCTAAACTTCTGACTCAAACCCTACACCCTAAAAGCGAGCCCAAAAGGGACCCTAACTTAGAGAGCTACTCCCATGGTGGGGAGTGTGCGCAGAGATGTCAGCGTCTCCGGAGCCGAGCAGACACGGGGTCGACCTGAAACGGGCCTCGTCATTAAGGCCACTGCGACTTTACCGGCTTATGGGGTGTTTCGGGTGTTTAGGGTTTAGGGTTTTTGAGGTTTTAGGGCGTTTAGGGTTTAGGGGTTTAGGGTTTTTAGGGTGTTAGAGTTTTGGGGCTTTTAGGGTGTTTAGGGTTTTGAGGGATTGTAGGGTTCAAGGTTTTAGGGTTAGGGTTTAAAATTTAGGACAATAGGTTTTGGGGTTTACAGGCTATGAGCCCCTGCCCAAACTGCAGGGAGGACGCGAAACTGCCTCAAGGGTCCGAGAAATCCTGGCAGCCTGGTGGTGGAGCCCCCCCCATACGCTTCCCCAAGTGGGTTCTTATGAAAGGATTTACTTTAAGTTACCATAATAAGGAAACCATATTATTTACTATGGATCCCTACTATGGTAACTTAGATTAAATCACCTAACAAGATCCCAGACTTCCCCAAGTGATGAGTGTATGAAGTGGGAAAAAGGCTCGGCTCGGAGACTGCTTTGACGTTCCGAAGAAAGGACGCCCCGGCCATGGCCAAGAGGGCCCGGGGACACTTTGCCGTGGGGGTCCAGGGTTCAGGGTTTAGGGTTTAGGGGTTTAGGGGTTTAGGGTTCAGGGTTTAGGGGTTTAGGGTTTAGGGTTTCATGAGAGTTTTGCATGGGCTCAACTAGATGTTGGCTTTGGGTCTTTGAGGTGGTAGGAGAACACGGAAGCCGAGTTCCGGGTGCCCTCCGCCTCCTGCGTGCTTCCGACGCCCCTGCGACGCGTCCTTAGCGCCTTCCGGAAAAGAGCTCGCATCCAACTTGTGCACTTTGGGCCTGAGCCCTAAGCCCTAAAACCCCAAACCCAGTTCTTTTCCCAGAGTTCCCGAGGCCCTGCAAGAAAAGCTTCCAGGCTCATGGATGATTCTCAGGGCTTTGGGCGCTGCCGAAAGCTTTGGGTCCGACGAGGGTGGCTTCCGACCCGCGCCCAGCCCGAACTTGTCTTCAGTCCAATTCCAACAGCACCTAGCCACAAAAACTCTGTCAAAGGTCGTGGTTCAGGGTTTAGGGTGTGTAGATGGGTTTAGGGTTTAGGGTTTAGCGTTTAGATGGGAGATGAGTTTAGGGTTTAGGGTTTAGATGGGAGATGAGTTTAGGGTTTCGGGTTTAGGATCCGGAAACCCCAGCAGAGTCGTGAATCACTCAAGCCCCACAGGAAGTTTTGCCTGAAACCCTAAACCCCAAGCCCCAATGCTCAAGCCCCAAACCCTAAACCCTCAACCCCAAATCCCAAACCCCAAAAGCCCTAAAACGTAAACCCTATTACCCCCAAAACCTTAAACCAAAAGCAATAAGACTCAAGTCCTATTAACCCTAAAACCCTGAACTTTTTATGCTTTGGGGGGACCGGCGCCGGCGGAGCCTTGTGCGCCAGGTCCTGAGGGCGGCGCCGAGGGCGCGGCGGCGACGAGGGAGGAGGGAGCAGAGGCAGGGTTGAGGGGGGGTTTTAGGGTACAGGGTTGAGGATTTAGGGTTTAGGGTTGAGGGTTTTGGGGTTTTAGGGTTTTGGGGTTTTAGGGTTGAGGGTTTAGTTTAGGGCTTTGGGATTAGGGCTTAAGGGTTTTAGGGTTGAGGGTTTTAGGGTTTTGGCATGTCCCTTCAAGTTATCAGGGCCTTAGTGTCATTTTTTGCGAAGGTTTAGAGGGCCAACCTAGAGAATCAAAAGGTTTCAGGCGATGGTATATACTCCTCAAAATTACAGGGGGGGCCTTGACATAAGACCTTAAACGCTAAACCTTAAACCCTCAACCTAAAACCCTAAAGCCCTAAAGCCCTAAACCCTCAACCCTAAAACCCCTCAACCCTCAACCCTAAACCCTATTTTGCCTGAAACCTGGGGGATCCTCGGAGCTTCAGCAGCCCGCCAGCACACCCTTAAGCAGCTGGCCCAGCCCCTTCCGCAGCTGCGAAAAAGCCCGAGCTCTCTTGCGGAACCCCCCCCGAAA